GGTTCGAGGGTTTAGGGTTTAAGGGTTTAAGGGTGTAGGGTTAAGGACTCTAAGGGGAGCCGTGAGCTTGGACTCCCGAACGGCTCCTCAGCTTCCAGGAGGGCCGCACTGCCAAGCTCCCGCAGTGTCACGCCGCCGCCTGGGGCCCGGCTTTATAGGGTTTAGGGTTTAGGGTTTAGGCTTGCTCAAAGGGTGGGGGCCAGGTAGAGTTTAAGGGCTAGTTTAGGGTTTGGGGACTGATATGAAAGCTCCCTTAAGGAGCCCTAAACCCTAAACCCCGAACCCCTTAAACCCTTCAAGGACCCTTGGAGAGCCCTTACCTTAAAGGCTGGGTGGTGAGGTTTCTCAGAGTCTGGGGCCCGGGACTCTGAATCCAGGGCTTTATCCCATTGAGTAAACCCTCTAAAGATTCGGGTCAATTTTAGACTGGCGCCGAAGGATTTTGGGGGATCTAAACAGTGACCCGAATGTAGAGACTGGGCCGTACCGCTGTAGACCGTTCCGTCGGGTTTTTCGCTACTCAGGCCGTGAGTTTGTACACCGACTTTACCATCACCGGCTTCGCGATCCCGAAGTGGTTGAAAGATCTCTTGAAGGATGGCTTTCTCAAGGACAGGATCAAAGAGGCGATCAACGAAGGCGGCTGTTTGTTCGTGCAGGGGATCCTTAGTTAGGATGCGGCACCATGCAAGACTCCCACCCCGGCACGTTGCTTCTTTGACACGGGCCAGGTGCAAGAGCCATGATCAAGATGATGACCGGGCCGCTGCAGTGCGTCCCCGGTGCGAGTGCAGTCACCAACAAGATCATGGATGCGGCCGCATCAGCGGGGAACCTTCTGGCAGGCCTTATCCCCAACCTCGGTCTCAAGTGGGACTTCAAGCCGATCTACATTCTGAAGCCTCAGAAGCTCTTTTGCAAGGAGGTGTGGACGACGCCGGGTTTCGAGAACGCTCCCTGCGCAGATCAGCTCGGGTGTGGAACCGCCGGCCAGGGGACGGCAGATGAGTCGGAGGTCGAGGTTGCTGGGTTGCTGTTAAGGAATTTAATTTGAGGTACCATGATGGGGATATATAGTAAATCACAGGGTTTCCTTTCTGTAGGAATTGAGTTTAAGTTGCCATAATTGGGGTATAGAAATAATAGGGCCCTTTTTTGTAGCAACTGCATCTAATCTCCTGAACAGCAACCGAGGTTGTGCCACCGGAACAGGTTCACCAACCGACTGTGAACCGACAGCACGGCGCCCCTGGATGCCCACAAGGTCTGAAAATGGGCGACCGCTTCATTGAGCTTGGCAAGTTTCGCATTGCCGAGTTTTACGACCGATACTTGTCGGTCTCGCACAAGGACCCTCGTGCACAGGCACCCTAAACTGGAAGCCTTGATTAAGGGGTCGGCGGATACCCCGAAACCGTAGCCCAATTTTCTGGTTCATGAGGCTGATATACTCAACCGAAGAGTAATAAGAATAATAATAATAAGAAGAATAATACTAA